TACTGCATAGACCAGAATGTCAAATTAAGGACCACACTTACATTGGAAACCCTACTAAAGTAATATTAGGTTGAAATTTAACTCCTCCACAAATAAGGGAAAGATGATGTCAAAAAACAACTTCAAGTTCAATTCTCATCTATGACCAGTTTCCCTGGTATCCAAGGAATCGGCAATGCTAGTCTATAGCATAAAATTAGATTATTTTTATTGTGAACATTTTGAAATGTGTAGAAAATGGAATCTGGTTAAGAGTAAAACTCAGTTTCTTTAAGAGTTGTAATCATCTGCTACGTGCTTACGTTAAATACTCATACTCTGTTAGGATACTTATGACTCTTATCAAGTCTTTGTTGATGGGAAGTGAAGGGTTGAGGCTGCATTCTAATATTCAGAGCTTTATTGATGAGTAACAATTACTCTTCCATGTTAAAAAAAAGAGAAAAAGCAATTCTTGATTCTAAAAATAAGCTGAAATGCCTTCTCGTCGACTTTATAAAGCTATAAAAACTAACATTATTATTCTCTTTCATTCACTTTGCACCCCCAACTTGCTTTCCCTCAAGGCCCAGTACCATCTTCTAGTACAGCCACTAAAACCAGTTATGAGACTCAACTCTGAGTCCTGGCAACCCCATGTGTGTCAGAATAAAAGTGTGTGCCATAGGTTTATCAATCGCTGATTTTTCAGAAGTAGATTGCCAGTCCTTTCTTCTAAGGCACCGCTTGGCAAACTCAAATCATCAACCTTTCAGCTAACAGCTGAGGGCAGTAACTATTTGCATTGCACCCCCCCCCCCAAAAAAAAACCCAACTCCCTGCCATCGAGTCAGATCTGACTCATGGCAACTCCTCCTTGGATTTCCAAGGTGGTCTCGCTATGGAAGTAGATTGCCCAACCTTCCTTCCAAGGAGTGGCTGGTGGGTTTGAACTGCCAGGCTTCTAGTTAGCAGTCATATGCCTTCAGCACTGCGCCACTAGAACTCATGGACATCGTTATAGCCAGTAGTAGCTGTCATCTCCCAAATGCACCTTCTGCTTTTCTTTGTTGTCTTGTCTCTTTGCTAAAGGCTTAGAATGTCTTCCCCATCCTCTCAAATCCCATCACCTAAATCATGACCATTCTTCAAGTACTTACTCTAAATACCTCCACTTCCACAAGACTTTCTGATAACATAAAATTAAAGGCTAAATTTTGCAAACTGTCCTATATATCTCCTTGTGACTTACCTTACTCTACTTCCTAGAATAATATCTATGCCATATTGCTATCCCCTTGTTAATACTTGGTTGACAGGAACTATGTAGCACTTATTTCTAATACATTACCATAGCTTGCACATAGCAGATATCCCAGTAAAATACTGAACTTAACTATAAGGCACACCAGCAATTTAATTACTACCTTTGAATAAACTTATGTTTTAGTATTCATATCATCTGCATTCACACTAGAATTCTACAATTTTCTCAACTTTCCACAGAATTTAAATTATAGCCTTTGGGAAGATTCTACTTCTATTGTGATGAATTAGTGACAAGGTTTAAAAGATCATATACTATCTTTTTAAAATTAATGCCTTCATCTTTTTAAAATTAATCTCCTTAAAAATAAGATGTATTTCTTTTATCTGCAGTGCTTCCAAGTACTCACAATCAAAAAATGAAACATAACGTCATCATTTTCTGAAATCTAGCTCCTCCTGGGGTGAAAAGCAATAGCTTAATAAAATAGAGAGACATTAACAACTTTTGATAGGAATGCCAGTCTATATCGTCTACCCAAAATGACATGGAACCCTGAGAGGGCAAATTGGAAAGGATCTAGGAACATTTAAAATATGTAAAGAGTTTAGATCAAAATACCAGGAATCTGAATTTTGCTACCAATCACAGAGGGCAATTTTCAAGAGTGTAATGACCTGAAATAAAATTACTTAACACAGTCTATAAGAACCATAGACCAATAAACCAATAAATTGTCTGATGGTATATCATGGATGGGCTTCTTTTATTTATTTATTATTTATTTATTTTTTGTAAGAGTTCATTTGTTTATTTCAAAACATACAGTCTAGTAGTTTTGCATTCTCAAACAGTTATTTGATAGCAGTTGAATATAGATTGCCAACTTGCTACCTCAGTTCATTGCTTCACATCCTAACATAAGAAGGGCTTAAAGGTTCTTTCTGTACAGGTTATAAAAGAGACAAACAAAAACTCTGCCCCTACCTCACAGGCACAGAAGTGCCCTGGCTCTGTGCTGGATTCTGACAGAGACTTCATTCCAGTTCCCAGCTTGGTGGGAAAAATCCAACCCAAAAATATTCAGATAGTTTAATTTAATAAGTTCATTTACATTTGCACTGCTTTTTAGTGACCCAAAGTCACTTAAAAACAGAATATTTTATTGTAGTCCTCAGAAAGCAACCTCAGTAAGCAGAAATTTAACAAACGTATTTACAGACATTAGATATTAAGCAGAACATTTGATGGGCAGTTATTTACATTTAATGGAAAGAGAATGGAAAAGTAACATGAATGTGAACTTCAAATCAATTTTAGGCTTTTTAGACGGTTTCAATTTAACTTGAATTTAAATTAGTACTGTGTGTAACTGTAAGAAAGATGACCAAATTTAAGTTTTCAGTAAAGACGAAATATACAAACATAAACACTTGTTGCCAGTAAGTCTGTATGATCAAATTATTCATAGTGAAATAAACTGAAATGCAAACAGGTCTTCAGTTTGGCAACTTTTCTTAGTTCTTTGTGGAGTAGTCTTGCACCACTACTCAAATGACATAAGCTATAATCATTTTACATGCAATATACTTCTTTACCCTAACAAAGGTACACTCTACCACTTAAGCCAATTTTATTCTAGTTTTCTTCATGTAAGTGTGAAAAAAGAACAGAAGTTTTTCCAAAATTGGTTAAGCTTGGAAGATACTCTATCATTTTCTTCAATATAATCCTTCAGAATCACCAAAGCCACCATGATGATATCTTAATAGTTGACGTCTTTAAAATAAACATTGTAAAATAAATAGCAGAAGGCACAACATTGCTTAGTGGATAAAATGTTTATTATAATGAAATGGTGTGAACTACTTGACACACTAATTTCACCTTCCAACATGGACTTTATTATCATTATTTTAAATCCAGTTGTTCTACACGAAAGCCCTAAGAGGCTTTTAAAACTTAGCACATTCTACAGCTCATTCCCCATAGCACAAATTTCCTTGTATTTTCTACAGTAGAATGTTTAACTGGAGTTATCAGCTGGCTTAATCACACTTCATTATAAAACCTATTAAAATGATCTTTTTATAAAAGTGGAGTTTGCTCTGTGTTACTCCAAGTTCCTGCAGAGACAAAAATGAAATCCTATGGAATGCTTAAAGATGAAGGGGTTTTTTTTTTTTCATTATGAAAAACCTGGCCCAGGAAAGATCTTCAAGCACCTTGTTAGCTAAAACAGACCAATATGTCAGGACTGCAAACTAATTTACCAAAGAAAGTTGATGTGGATTCAGTTCACTCAGGTTTCTAAGGCAGATTTACGTCTGCTGAACTGTTACAGCAACTTGCTCAGGTTAGAATCACAGAAATGTTTATTCTTATTGTCTCTTTCCCAGTTTCTCACAGAACACAAACTTCTCCTTAAAGTGAACTTGCACAAGTAACCAACAACAACTCTACGTTTTTCAAGTGTAATGGGTACATACTCATGACCCCTTTAAAAATCCAATGAATTCAAATAGAGGCTAGTCAAATATTTGTACTTCTTCCTTCTATGAATTACTCATATTTATTAAGAATCACAAGAGACCTCGTATTATGTAACATGTTGTCACCCAGCTAATGTGATGTAGTTAGGAACAGAATAGCAGAATCTTTTTTTTTTCAGTTATGTCATTATCTGTTAATTAAAAATACCATTCATCTGAGTACTTTCCCTCTTTTTATGTTAATCTCATGTTCCTGCTGCGTTATTCTCCATATGCACTCTGAGTTAAGTGTTGTATAACAAGTTTAATTCAATTTTCCCATCCAAGTTATGGAGCCCACAGACATCAGAACTATCCAGTTTCTCTAAAATGCTAGAACAATACCAGAATGGTTGCATTAGAAGCCAGGACTAAGGCAAACAGTGGGTCCACATTTTAAGTGAAGTGTATTTATCTATGTTTGACCCTCAAAAACATGCAACACTCTTGGGAGATGGAGACAACCACTCCATTAGTAACATTATGCAAATTCCTTAAGGAAAATAAGCAATATTCTTCCTCAGATGTTATGAAAATATATTTTTTTAAAAAAAACCAACAGACTAGGCTTCCATTTCTGGATTGTAAATGTCATCTAATTCAGGGAATCAAAAAATCTTCCCTTTCATATGCCTATTTGCTTATTTTTTACACTTTGATGATGACAGAACATCAGGTTTGAAGGGTGCTAGCATGAATCACCAGCATGTAGAGAAATCCGAGAGAGCCACAAAAGCATAGAAAGTAAGGGTGATATCAAACGCATTTCATTTCAAGTCTGATGAGCCTGCATTTAGGATTTTCCGGATGGGCAGGTTTGCCAGGGCATTTGGGAGATGGGGTTTTTCATTCCTCTAAACACACACACAAACACACACATACACGGACGGACGGGTACACACCTAGGGTGCATTCAAACTCTATATACAGTAGGTAGCAGATATAAATGTATATGTATACATACATATATATATATACACACACACACATATTTTTAAAAATATTTTGAGACCTGACAAAGACATGAAGGCAACGTACTGTGCAGTGAGTCTGGGTCTGAGAAACGTGCACAGCCCCTCAAGAAGTGCCCGTTAAAATGAAACATTTCTGAGGATGAGAACAGACATGGCAAGCGGAGGGGCGGGGGCCGACAGACAATACAGAGACCCGCAGCTCCCCACCGACAGGGTGCCACATGGACCCAGCACGCAACCCTTGCTTACTGTGGGCTCTTAGGGTAGAACGGCAGGGTCACATGGCTGAGATCCTGGATGTCGAAGGCGGTGGGCTCAGCGGAGATCGCCTGCCGCTTGGTGCGCGGCTCGCCCTGCAAGGTGCTCGCGCTCTGCTTCTGCGCCTGCTGGGTGGCCGGCCGGATCACCGAGCGGTACTTGTCCAGCTCGTTCTGCAGCTTCTGGATCAGTTCGTCCTTCTGATCCAACTCCAGCTCCAGCTCATCAATGAGAGCATCCCGCTGCCTCAGCTCCTCAATCTTCTCCTGGAGCGCGTATTGTAAATCCCGCAGGGTGCCCATGCTCCTCCGGGCTGCCGCCGGGGGCTCCTTCCTGCCGCTGCTCCGCGTCTTGGGGCTTCCTCCCTTCTCTGATCAACTTTCCCCAAAGTCGCCGCCGCCTCCCGAGTGCAAAAGCTTCCTACTTGAGCCCAAAGCCAGCCCTGGCTTCTGAGCATGCCCAGTTCACAGACTCCAGCCACCGAGAGTTTCAGTGTGCAGATTCCACTTCTCCGGGTGGACTGAGAGACTGAGTGCGTGGATGAGAAAACAGCAGGTCCAGCCCGGGATTAATCCTGAAACCTGGTGGGCGCCACGGCGCCCAGAGGAAGGGTCGGGAAGCGCAGTGTCAGAGAAGAGGCAGAAAGGGACTTGAAGGAGGGAATACGCGGCACGGCTGCTCTGCTTGGGTAACTCGCACTGGGCGCCTAAGGAAGCCGGCAGTGTGTGCCGGGAGCCTGATAAACCTCTGGGGCGCGCTGGGGGCATGTGCAAGCGGAGCGAGGCAGGCGCACTCTCTGCGGGTGGTGAAGTGGGAGGGAGAGGGCTGGGAGGACCCCAAGCATACTGAGTAGGCGTCAGCCAGCTCCAAAGCATGCCAGTCTTGAGGACCCTGGGCAATGTAGGAGGAAGAGCAGACTCTGCATTCTAAAAGCTCTGAGCTCTGGAGGTATTTTGACCGCCACTTTCAGAGACAAGGCTCCAGAAACGAGTGGCTGAGCACTCGCTTCTCCCACTCCACTTTTTCCCATGAAGAGCGCCTCACACAGGTGGCTAACGCTTGAAAAGAAACTTGCCTTTCTCAGGCAATGAGAGTGAGTCCATGTCTGGGAGGGATTGATTCCTTCCGTACATTTAGGTGCCTTTGGGGAAGAGTGAGGGTAGGAGTACCTGCTTTTCTGCCCCCGACCGTTGCCATTCTCTGCCTGTTCATGCTAATTTCTCCCCTTGTGTCCCTTCCAAACTCAGATTAATGAAACGTTCTTGGGCAAAGGCTAAAAGGGATTTGGGCCCTAGGAGGCCACTTAAGCTTTTCCATTTTCCCTTCCACTTGAGCTACTGTCTGCATAAATTAATTGATGGGCCCTGCTTCTTCCATTTGCTGAATTTGGGGGTAAAAATCATTACTGAACTCCAAAAAGTTCATCCTGAAATTGAACTCTACCTTTAAAAACATTACTTGTCTGATAACCAAGCAGTTAGGACGGTAACTTTCCACTTAAATGGAAAGGAGGAAACTGACGGGAACTTTGAAGAAGATAAAAAAGGGGAGGGGAAGACTAAAAGGGCTACAATAAATTGTACCAACCACCATCTCACGCCACCCACTCCCACTCCTAGCCCTGCTTACCCAGTATTTCCTAACATGATAACAAGTAGGTAGCAATTAAGTATCCAAGGATGATTCTCCCATTATGGGAACATGTTAAAAATCTCCAAAAATGTACCTAATCTTTACCTAAAATTCCTAACATTTACCTAAATCTTCTCCAATTCATCTACTTTTAAAATAATTTTTATTAGTTTCCAAATTACTATTCTTGTGCTTTATTTGGCCATTTCTTCACACCAAAACAAAGAAAAGAGAAAACAAGTTAAAACTGAACTGCAATTCAGAGCTATTCACTGAAATCTAAACTTAGTCAAGGACACAAATATGAGCCTCAAAAAATTTGCTCACTTTTGCTTTTGAATATACAACTTCTTCTGAGCTCAAAAAAAGGGAGAAGAAACAACTAACCAATGGTATGTTAACAAGCTTTTCATTTCAAATGTACTTGTTTGTAACTAGAGGTGTAAATGAAAAAGGACGTACAGTCCTAAGCATGCTTCCACACAGATTACGATCTAACTCATTTTAATGCAAATAATAAAAGATACTTAACTGCTCTGCTTTCTGACCCAGACATTGTGAGAAGTGCTTTTATTTCAGAATGTAATATTTATATACATTACTCTATAGTGGATAATTTCCAAAACATTTTCCTTTGTAATGAACAAAACATGAATAATTTACAAATACTGACAGCAGTAAAAAAACAGCACTGAATTACTGTTGTTTTAATTTAAAGTATGACAAGCAGAAGTACTGTGACTTTGTATAACTGACTCTGTCTTTAGTGACATTTCCTTCTCCCAGGCAGAAGGCTAAATTCTAACCTTATTTAATTTATGGGAATTCTTTAATTCCATGGGAAAATGTTTAAAACTAAATGACTTTTTCTTTCCTATAGATCTAGTGTAGGAGTCCATGAGTCCAAGAGATTGTTTAAAAACACATCAGAAAGCAATGAATAAGGTATAGACAACTGCTAAGCAGGTTTTTTATTTTAAAGTTTAGTTGAGGCTTAAATAGGGATTGCGACGACTCGACGGCAAATAACAACAACAACAGTATCTCTCAAGGAGCTCTGGTGGCGCAGTGCCTAAGGCATCTGACTGCTAACCAGAAGGCTGGCGGTTCAAACCCACCAGCCACTTCTTGGAAGAAAGATGGGGCAATCTACTTCCATAGTGATACTGCCTCGGAAACCCAAGGAGGGGTCGCTATGAGTCGGTCCGACTTGACTGCACGTAACAACAACAACAACAAGTATCTCTCAATGGAGCCCCTGGAGGTTGTATACAGTTAAGTATTCATAAGTTCAAATCCACACAGAGAAACTTCAGGAGTAAGACATAGCCACCTACTTTCAAAAATATGGCCACTGAAAATCGTATGGAGCCCAGTTTTCATGTGTCACCATGAGTCAGAGTTGACTTGATGGCAACAGGTTTCATAATGTCTCTGAGAAGTATAAAGTAGAGAAGATCCTTCCTAATTTGTAGATAGTCTGCTACATATACAAAGGAAAACAGAAAAGTATTTTTCCCAAAATATAAAAAGTACCACTTCAACCAAAAAATATTCAAGTATTTTGAACAGAAGACCTTTTAAAACTGAATTACATAGTTTTTCACTATTTAAGCTAGCATATCAACATATAACTATAGGACACACATTACATTTTCATTTTAAATGGAATTTTTATGATAACAAAATATATTTTCCACAATGAATCTAATATTGACAGAATCTTATAATGACCACAAAAACAATAGTGGCTGAGACTGTGAATATATGATTGTTAGAACTGTTTAACCCTTTAAAAGGTATCCAAGGCATAGAGCACATTCAGTAATAATTAGTTATGAAAAACTTAATTTTTCCTTAAATATTTTATAATTATATATGCAAATTTGGAATTGTAGGCTTTTCTCTTTCATCCTTAAAGTCAAAAATAAATTATTTTATGTAAGTTTTTCATAATGATATTCGTAACTGGTTGTTTAGATCTTGAGGGACTTGGGTTTCCATCTAAGCATTTTGAGTGAGTCCGGTATTATATTAAATATCTTTGGCACTGTACTTGGTAAGTGCTAGAAATAATTCTATGTGATAAATCAAGATCCTGAAATTATATGTCAACAAAGACAAATTTTACCATAAAATCTTTGTTATATGCCCCATAGTGATCTTAATTGGTTAAATTACAAGATCAATACTACTTTCTACTCATTAAGAAGTAGCTACTACAAATCTGGAATGGAATGGTGTGGAGTGGAGTAGAGTAGCATGGCCTAAGCTCTCACCTACTACCCATCTGGGATGGAGACTTTGATGTTAGATGCTAACAAAGCAATGCAATTTTGAAGGAACTGAATTCACACTCTAAAATCCCATAGTCAACCCACCACTTACTTTTCAATAGTCTCTTCAACACTGGCTTAAGAGAAGCAACATTCTATCAGTAGCCAGAACAAACTGTGGCTTACTGAGAACACACTGTGGCTTACTGAACTGGAATATGCTCTTCAATTCTGCACTCAACTTTCATGGCTGAGTATGAATATCACCATGCCTTCCTTAATGGAATCTCAGAACCATCTAATGATATACTCAATAAGGCAGTTTCACTATAATACTGGCTATTAAATAAATAATGAATCTGTGAATCTGTAGACTCTAGCATTCTTCACTAAAAAAATATAATTAGCCTCCAAAAAAAAAACTCTGGTAATTTTATCCTCTACTTGTCCATTCCCCTGATGATAAATTCCTTGGAGAAGTCTTAACGTGGAAATCTTCTGCCATTTTATGTGTATATCTTGATGGTAGGAAGGGAGGAGAGCTGAACATTTTAGGTAATGGGAGCCACACTTTGGACAAGGCTACTAAAAGTAACGTACTCCTAAGAATCTAGATATGCTGGTTACTAGTACTGTCAGACATACTGACTTGCTCTAAATTTGCTAATCATAATCAAGATCACCATAAGAGTATCTTTCTTGAACTCAAAATGCATGATAGGCACTATTCATATAACCTTTCAAAGTGGATATTATTATGATTTCCATTTATAGCTGAGAAAACTGTGGCATTAAAGCACCCACCTAATGAATGAAACAGTCTGGATTCAAATCCAGCCCATTTGGCACACAGCTCAAACCCTTACTAACCCCACATTGCATCTTAGTGGGGCTTTCAAGTTTTGCTTTTGTGTCTTAGTTCTGGGTCCAGGGTACTTAGAACATCTGCAGTCTTAATTAGAAGCCCTTGTGGCACAGAAGTTAAAGTGCTCAACTGCCAATCAAAAGGTCTGCAGTTCAAACCCATCACCTGCTCCATGGGAGAAAGATGTAGCAGTCTGCTCCTATAAATATTACAGCCTCAGAAACCCTACGGAGTAGTTATATCCTGTCCTTTAGGTTCACTATAAGTCAGAAGTGACTCAATGGTAGGGAGTTTTGGGTAGTGTTAATTAGCCAGACTTTGGGTTGGGGAAGGCAGGCAGAGGAGACATTTGGGGAATCCTGAAAGAGCTGGAAGAAAATTATTTTAAAAGTTCCTTTCCCCAAGATTATCTTCACTCCAGCACCATTTCCTCTTGCTTTAGGGTGACTGTTACTAAAAGTTCCAATTACCCCTCAATTTCAGGCAAACCAGAAAAACTGGTAATCTTATTTAATTCAGCATTGTTGAG